TGTAGACAGCTCGTTCAGGTAACGCGCCAGATCACCTCTCCAGGCCGAATACTAAGCTCCAGAAATGTGTGGTAGTATAGCTTTTCGAAGAGAAAAGCATGGACTGAAATAAGAGTGTGCGAGCTTGTGTGTTGGTGTGTGTGTGTGTGACAATGTATATTCGGAGAAATCTAATGAGTTCCACACGTCACTTCATCGTCACCACTCTTGCTTCGATCGCAGGTAACAACACAAAAAGATTTAAAAAAACCTTCCTTCTCATTATTCAATGTTGGAAACTGCACCGGCTCTTCCCCCTCTGAGAAGTAGCACCACCCACAGAAACGACCTGCAGCAGACTACTTCCATCCCGCCACGGACCAGTGGGTACGCGCAATGGCCCGGGCCGTAAAATTCAACGGCCGTTCCCAGCACACCTGCGCCTGGGCTATCTCTTCACGAGGATAACTGAATCTGAATCTGGTTTGAATGCGAAACGAAAAAGCTGCATATCGCTTTTACTGAATTCTCGACGATATTTATGTAAAACCTTTGCGAAGCTGCTCCCTACAAGTAAAACAAGTCGAACATGAACCAGAAGAAGTTCATTGCCTTCTGAAACAAAACCGGACAAACCATGTGTCCCAATAGACTGCACTCGATTCGTTCCGTAGGTACTATCTGTGACGTTCGTGGGTGTAAATTATGATATAATAAAGGAGATATAAAATATGTGAAAGTAAATCACGGAGACTAACATATTTTGCGTTTAGTTCAATAATAAATGCCACAACGACGCCCACGCGGCTCATCACAGCCCAGACGTTACAACGGTCTCTAAGAGCCGCGGGACGTTAAGTGCATCACTTCGCGAAATGAAAGACGAGGCTGAAAGCGTGAAGTAAAAAGGTTCCCGCACGACCTACTGCCTAATACGTCCAGATCGTGCGACCGCCTCCGTCGTCGTCGCCGCAAAAAAGCGCCGCGCGCGCCCCACCTCGGGAGCGGCGCTGAAGAAAGCAGCTGTTGTACCTGGGAGCGCGAGAGCGACTATGAATCATCGCCTCGGACGGGTTCGATCGCGGGACTCCTGCGGCGCGGCTTTGCCGCCGAGCGGGCCGCCGCCGCCGCCGCAACCCGCGTGCTTGCGTGACGCAGAGGTCGGGGGGGGGGGAGGACGACGGCGAAGAGGCGGAATGAGGGCGGGTGAGAGGATACAGCTGTTTATCTGTTCAGTTGTCTACGCTGTAATCTTTCTTTTGATTCCTTCTGTTTTCTTACGTTCCGATCTCTCTTTCATATTCCTTTCTTTTTTTTCTCTCTTCACGTTCATTCTTCATTTTTTCCTTTTATTATTTTTTCCTCTTTTCTTCCACGCATTTCTTTCGTTTCGATTTCTCTTTATTTTTTTTTGTTCATCGAACAACTTTGATCACCATCCCAGCTGATTTTGTGTCATATTCGTTTTAAAGAAGTTGACTTAATATACTGACAACTACCTCAACTATAGTTGAACTTTAAGGCAGAAAAGTCAGATTTCGTCATAAATCGATATACGGTTTGCTGATAAAAATTGGGTAACACTTCAAATCAACGTTCGAGAATAAGTATTTTTCCTCGAGGTGTTTGAAGGTTGAATCACCTTGAAATCCTGTGTCGTCGCTCGTTCTGTAAAATGTTTAAGAAATCGTGCGATATATGTGGAGGTCATATGTTAAGAGTACAGAATCCACTGTGCTCGACGTAGTGAAGTATGTAGTCGTAGTTACTTCGCTCTAAATTTCTAAAGAAAAAAAAATTCACTCGACGAAAGAAAATTATAGGCAAACTTTCTTTTTCAATCACACCATTTCTATTCACAACAGTAATACCATCATACCATTCGTGTGTTGCGTTCAACTCTTGTAACAGCTCTGCAGGGCAAAACAAGATCGATCAAACTCTTTTTGTTCCGGGTGCAAACTTGGAGATTTACTTCAACGACCAAGTACTATCGCGATCTGTTGAAAGATATCTGCTTTTTCTGTGAATACGTTCAGACGTTCAGAGGAATGCTCGCGTTATCCGTCCGTCTGAGGAACACGTCACGTATTCAACGCGTGGTAAGAACGTGTTCTGGTATCGATCAGTAAGGTCGATCTTCACGAGATTTCTCGGAGTCCCAGGGGAACTTGCTCAGCACAACTTCATAAATGTAGACTACGCGTACTTTCTTACTCAGTTACTTTGCTACTTATGTACCCTCACGCACCTGCCTATACACTTTAGAGGTATGAGGTCATATATGGTGTGCTTTGAAGTTGTTTTCTGATGAAAAAAAATACAGAGAAAGGATAATGTGTCAAGGAAACTAAAAGGAAACCGAGCAACGTAAAAGTAACTTACAGTGAAAATTGAAAAAAACTTCTACCACGATGGTACAGAAGATCAGAATTTAAAGACTTATGAGATATACGGAAATCTGTCTGAAACAGTGGAGTGTAAAGGGATGGTAAGTGGAAATTTCGAAAAGTGATGAGATAATAAAATGAAAGTGATGCTCTAGACCATACAAGTTCAGTACGTGCCATACGCTATGTCCCAATTCTCCAGTTGGAAAAACAGTACACCCATAACAGGTCGCAAACGACGTGGGGAATCTGAAGACCAGGGGATACGAAACTCTTAGCAAAGGTCGTTCAATAATGGACAGGAATGAGCCAATTAAAAAGTTGCGGAGGTTGGATAGAAGGAACCGAAAATAGTATCGAAATGATTACGACAGGAGGAACTATGGATGACACAAGGGATAAGGGCATGAAGCTGCGCAAGGACAGAAAAGGAAACAACCAAAGGAAATATTAGTTCCAAATTTAAATTTAAATATTTCTTTTTTTCATACAATTATAATTGATTTATTATTATTCACATTGTATTGTAAATACATTTCACACGCAAAACGTTTCTAATACACACACGCTCGTTCGCACATTCTTATGTCCAGTGTATAAGACACGACGTTTGGCTGTGGGCGGCGGGCGGCAACAAAAGCAGGGAGCAATCGGTCATTTCACGGTCCGCGGTCTGCCGCCGCCGCCGCTTGTCCAATTAAAACGCAGGCGGACTAGCGAC